CATAAATACTAGACCTTTATCAGATACACAATTTGCAAATATTTTTTCCCATTTTGTGGGTTGTTTTTTCACTTTCTTGGAGTGTTCTTTGAAACACAAAAAGTCGAAGATTTACACCTGTTTTCTCCTAAGAGTTTTATAATTTAGCTCTTATGTTTTAAGTTTTTGATCCATTTTGAATTGATTTTTATGTATGGTGTGAAGTAGAGGTCCAATTTCATTCTACATACAGATGTGCATTCATCCCAGCACCATTTGTTTAAAAAGGCTATTCTTTCCCCATTGAAAGGTCATGGCACCCTTGTTGAAATCAATTGACCATAATTGTATGGGTTTATTTCTGGAGTCTCAGTTTTATTCCATTGACCTATATGTCCTTATACCAGTACCACACTGTCTTCATTACTGTAGCTTTTTTTTTTTTTTAAGATTTTATTGGGGATTTGGGGGAGGGAAACTGTTGGGAAATTGGGGAAAGGGACCGGCCAAGTTGTTGTTCTTGAGTCTTCGTTGTGGAGTGCGCCAGTCGCCATCTGGCTTCCTGTCAGCAGCTCATGGCCTCTAAGCTCAAGGTACTGTGTTGAGTCTTAGTTGTGGGTGGGCGTAGCCACCATTACTGTAGCTTTTTAATAAGTTTTGAAAATGAGAAGTGTCGAGTCCTCCAATTTTGCTCTTTTTCAAGATTGTTTATTCTGGATCTTTTACATTTCTATGTGAATTTTAGAATCAGCTTGTCAATTTCTGCAACAACAAAAAGATAGCTGGGACTTGAATAGATTACATTGAATCTGTAGATCACTTTGGGGGAGGATTTCCATCGTAATATTGTCTTCTAATCCATGAACACATATGTGTTTTCATTTAATTTCTTCAACATTTTGTAGTTGTCAGTGTACAGGTCTTAAACTGATTTTATTAAATTTATTCCTAAGTATTTTGGTTTTGTTACTTTAAATGAAATTGTTTTCTTGTTTTCAGATTGTTTATTGCTATTGTAGAGATACAATTGACTTTTGTATTGATCTTGCATCCTGCAAGCTCAGTTGCAGTTTAGGAACCTTGCTGAACTTATTCGTGATAGTTTTTTTTGGATTCCTTAGAATTCTCTATATACAAGATCATGTCATCTGCAAACAGAGTTTTATATTATCTTTTCCATTCTGGATGCCTTTTATTTCATTTCCTTGCCTCATTATTCTGGCTAAAACCCCCAGTACAATGTTGAATAGAAGTGGTGAGAACAAACATCCTTGCCTTGTTCCTGATCATAGAAGGACAGCTTTCAGCCTCTCACTGATAAATTTGATGTTAGCTGTGGGTTTTTCAAGATGCCTTTTATTCCATAGAAGTTTAAAATAAGCTTGCTGTTCACAATGTACACCACATTCTGTCATGCCTCCAGGTTTTGCACTGTTCCTTCCTCCTTTCTATCCCCGGCAAACTCAAGCCTTTGCCTCTGAGGTTCTATCCAAATCTCTCAGATGCTTTCCTTGACTGTCTCCAGTAGAGTATATCCTTCCCTCCTCAGAACTGCTGCAGCACTTTTTACATTTCTCTGCATTTTCCACACAGAATTGTAATGATGTGTTTCAGCTTTCTGAACTCTTGCAGGCAAACCCATATCCCTGAGGCAGCATTAGACAGTAGTGGATAATCAGTACAAATTGGTTGCATGGTGGCCAGCCTAGATTGACAGAGGAACAGGAGTGGCCTTCATGTCACTTTATGTAACTTTTTAAGGTTAGAAATGTACCCTGTATATCCTTTTAATGTTCTCAATAATCCATTATGGCTCTTAGTTGTGAATCCAACTAAAACATTTCTGAAATCTGTTCATGTTTCAATCAGTACAACCTCTAAGGAGAGTAATCATTTCCTTATTTGCCTGAAAATTCAGTCTCCAAGTTCCTGGGGTACCTTCTAAACTTAATATTACAGGGTAAGTAATACTTTCCTTTATGGTGTTTAGACATATTTTCTATCTGGGATTCAATAAAGAGACTGCAGGCTCTCAGTTCTTAAGATCTGACTACTCTATTTCTCAGTCACATAACCTTGAATAAGTTGCCTCTCCACACCTCTGTAAAAGTCTAAAAAAAAATCATGTTTTCATGGGGTATTGATGAGGATCCAATGAGATCACGTGGTTGGTGAATTTTAGAGCAACTGACAAGATCTAGTTGTTTTAGCTACATCCATTGACCTTTTCCACCTAGACTGAAATGCTTGGGGATGAGAGTCTCTTTCCATGCTTCATTGATGTTCTGCAAATTCTCCCCTTTTCTTTGCCATCACCTCTTCAAAGTAACAGAATCTTGCTGTCTTCCAACTATCTACCTACAGGAACTGCTCTAGCTTTCTGAGAATTTTTACTTTCTTTCCCTGGACTTTTTTCCAGCAGTGTGCAAAGAATGGGTTCATTGAAATGCCCCTTTGACACCATTCTTTTTTTTTTTAAAGATTTTTACTGGGGAATTGGGAGGATGGGAACAGTGCTGGGGAATTGGGGGAAGGGAACAGACAAGTTGCTGTCCTTTTGTTCTTGTCTAGTTGTGGAGGACGTCGCTTCACTGGCTCAAGTTGGCACCATCATTGCGCTCTTCCCGGGCAAGGCACATCAGTCACCGGCTTCTGGACGGCCGCTCACTGCGGCTGCTGGCTACATACAGTGGCCCATGGCAACCCACTGCCACAGGGGCTGCAGCCTACGCCGTCGCCAGCGACTCACAGCAACCCAGCTCCAGGTTGAGCTGTTGTTCAGCATCTTAGCTGTGGAGGGCAGTGTCACTGGCCCTCATATGTGGGATCTGAACCGGGGCCCTCTGGCATCCCAAGCCAGTTCTTAACCATCGCACCACTCGGCTGGCCCTTACACCATTCTTCACTGTGTATTGGACAGTGTCATTATCATATAAATATTGGGGGTTGTCGGAAGTCATGAAGCATTTTTGCAATGAAAAACAAAAAATACGTCATGACTTTTCCAACAGCCCAATAATTCCTTGGCTTTACATGGGCTTTTCCAAAAAGTGCCAAGTGCTTTCTTATCTCGCATCCTGTTTGGTTCTAACAGAATCACTCGAAACAGTGGTATGATTTCTTGTTTCATCATCAGCTATCCAAAGCTAAACAGTTAATATTGGAGTCAGTTAAAACCCCACAGACATTGTTCTACAGAATGTGTGATGCAGAGTGTAAAATGGGAAAGGACTGTGGTGTAGGAAAAGTAGCCAGAAGGGCCGGATTTGAGTCCTGGGCTATGCCACTTAATGGCAGATCCCTCAATTTCTTTCATTTCCACTTTCACAGTAGTAGTTAAATAGGATAACAATAATACCTATTTCAGAGGGCTGTGAAGATTAAATGAGAAAGGTTCTTATGAGTTCTTCAGTAACATGATTACTGAGAGCCCAGTAGCATGGCTTAGTTCATAGAGCTTTGGGCCTCAGACTTGGATTGCCAGAGAGGAAGGAGATAGGAATACTGGTGCTGTGGGAATCAGTGGATAATGGTCCTCCCTTGTCTGGGAGAGGCTAGCCTCAAGATTTTGATTTTCATAAGAATCCCTCTTCCCAGAACCACCTCACCCTTTCCTACGTCCAGGCCTTTGCCCTCCCTATATCCTTTGAGTTGAGAGCCATGTACCTGTCTCCCAGGCCCTTGCCTGAGGGCTTCCTGCCTCTGAAATCTCACCTCCTCCGGGAACAGCCTTTTGGTACTCCAAACCACTGGCCTCTTTTCATCCTAAATATGCTTAGTGTTAGATTTTAAGCTCCTTGAAGGATAGCCTATGCCCTAAATATCCAGGATGGCACTGGTCTGTAAATCAGGCACAGGAACATTTGCTGAAAGAAGGAACAAATATTAACTTTTTGAACATCCATCGTGTATCAGATTTTGTGGTGTTTCATAATTGAGTAAGACAAAGTTCTTGCTCTCAAGGAACTTACCATCTAGTGGTGTAATTTAAGAGGCACTTACATTATCTTGTTGAATCCTCACAGCAACCCTTGAAGGAAGCTGGAGGTTAAGAGATTTGCCCAAAGTGGTCAAGCCAAGCCATGGCTGGTCTGAGAGGCAGACACAGAGGTGCAAGTCCTGGTCTCCTGTCACCTCCCAGAGTGCCTAGAGGCTCACCCCTCACTTCCAAGGGGTAGTGCCCAAAGACTGGAAGGAGTTGGGAAGGTGGCCACAGTGTGCATCAATGAAGAGCTCCAGCTCTTGGATCTAATCATATCCCAGCTGTCACTCATTAGCTTTGGAACCTCGGGCAAGTTACTGAGTCTGAGCTTCAGTTTTCTCATCTGTAAAAGAAGAAGAAGACTGTAGTGGGCATCCATTGTTTTTCCTGGTACAAAATCCAGTCTTACTTCTGCTAACAGCCCTCAGGTGTTGCTTTCCCTCTCCCTAGTTGTCAGTAATATGGCTGGGGGTGGCATGTTACTCAGGCTAGACAGTCACTTGGTCTCTGGAGATAAAATCTTCAGTGGGGTGACCCAAAGACTGAATCCCACTGGAGTTCATCCATCCAGGTGAAGCCCTAACAAAATTACTGGTTCCTACTCCCTGGACCAGGGGGGGGCCTTTCTGGTTCCTGACCTTTTGTGACTAGTTCTGCTTCTCCCTCCATTCTGTTAGCTCCTTACCACAACCTGCCCCACCACAGCCCTCTAAAAAATTTCCTTTTTACATTCATTAGAGTCAGTGTTCCGTGCTTGCAACAACAAAAAAACTTCAATTGATCAAAACACCTACCTTGCAGTGTTGTAAGGATTAAGTGATTAAATGAAGTTTGTCAAGTGCCTAGCCCAGTCCTAGCAGCATAGCAAGCAGTCAGTAATGGGTGGTATTGTCTGTAAGTTAACGCTGGGGGGAAAGGGGAGATGGGGGGGAGGGAAAGGGGCAGAGCATGGGAAGTGGGAGGGAGATTGATACTGGTTTTGGGTCCACTTGGGTCCCCCAAGAGATAGAAGGAAAACAGAAGGGAGGGAAGTCCAGGCTATGGTGTGCTCATTTATTCAAAATGTCTTTATTGAAACAGAACAATAGAGCAAGAAAGAATGAGGTCTGGGAGGATGTCTTTGGGCACAGATGAAGCCCAGACCTAGGGTTCCAGTGCGGAGCTCTCTCCCTATCCCCTGACTCTTGCCAAGGAAGTGAACACAAATCAGCAGGGAGCAGATGGGGGTAGGTACAGCCCTCTGCGCTCTCGATGGCTGGCATGAGGTGCTTCTGAGCCTTCTGGGCAGCCCTGCCTTACTCAATCCTCCCGATCTCCTTGCCAGGGCCTAATGTCACCTTTCTGTATGGGCCAGCCTCCTGCCAAGGTGCTCAGAGGCCACTCAGAGGGCAGGGTTGGGGGTGGCAAGCAGTGGGACGTGGTCACAGCGGTTAGGGGGTGGCTGCCGCATCAGGGAAGGCCGGCGACACAGCTCCCCATCCCGGAGCACCTCAGGCAGGAGCTTGCGCTTGGTCTCCGGCAGAAGCATGATGCTGAGGATGCAGAGGAGGGCACAGGCCGCCAGCACCACATGCTGCAGGAAGGCTCCATGGCCCATGTGGAGGCGCTGGGCTGGGCCACTCAGCCCTCCAAGTGCCCCCAGTGCCATGATCAGGCCTAGACCTCGGCCCCTGAGAGAGATGGAGGAGGCACTTAGCCTCTAGCTGTGGGCCTCACCCCAATCCTCCAGCAGGTTTCCCTCCTTCATCCCTCAGGCCCTGTCCTTGGCGGGGGGTTGGAGGCCTGGCCCTGCCCCTGGCAGCACCCCTGCTCTCACCGGACAGTGGTAGGGATGACTTCAGCAGCAAGGAGGGTGCTGAGGATGCCAGCAGCTTGGGAGGAGAACAGGCCAAGGACAGAGAAGGTGGTGATGGCGGCCTCATTCAGATCTGGAGGACCAAGAGGGAGGTGTGAATGGAGGTGGGAGATCATGCTTGGCCTAGACCCTGGTTTCATCCCCTTGCTCTGATCCTATGGCTCTAGCTGGGTGGGCTCTGGGTATTTACTAATTGATTGGGAGAACAGACGGTGTGTGGTCAGAAAGACTGTGGAGATCTAGGCAGGGGCAGGTCTTGTCTTGGGAATCCTGTGCCAGAAGCAGTGGTTGAGCCTATCTGAAGCACTTCTGCTGGGGTTCCTTTGCTGAGCCCACATTCTGGGAAAGGGAGGATGCTCACAATCCCACAGGCCCAGCAGGACCAGGGATGCAATGCCAGTGAGGGTCATCAAGAGAAGCAGGATGCCCCGGCGGCCAAATCGGTCCACGGTGACCCCCAGGAAGACACAGGCCAGGGCCGCTGTGCCACTGGCCAGCAGGGAGCACAGGTAGAAGTCCGATGGGCTCCCTCCTCCTCCCACAGGCTGGTAGCAGTGGCGAATGGCGTGGGCAATAAAGCTGTGAGAAGGGATGGGAAACAAAGAAGCGTGTCTGGATCCCCACCCACAGCCTTCCACAACCCTGGCTGCCCTCTGGGGGGTTCCTCAGGCCTTCCCCACCCAGCCAGCCCCTATCCCAGCGACTGGCCTGGCCCTTGGCTCAGACACCCAGGCTCACTTGGTGAAGCCCAGGATAAGCAGATTTTTCCAGATGTTGCGGTAGTTGAGGAGGGATGCGAAGGAAAAGGAGGATGTTGCAGGGAGAGGGCAGGTATTCTCCAGGTCTTTGGGAGAGAGAGAGGGAGGAGCTGTCTGTTAGAAGGAGCAGCTGAGATCCCAGGGTCCTCCCACAAGGGTGGTGGCAATCCTGGGAGAAGGTTGGCATAGCTACAACCATGTAGAGGGCACTGTCATGTGTGCACATGAGGGATCATCTGTAGGAACCCATCTCTTACCCTGCAGGGCCTCCTGGGCCTCCTCTCCCAGCATCTGCCCATGGGGCCGGTTCCGCTCAGCCAGGATCCTCAGCACCGATTGGGCCTCCTCAATCTGTCGTTTCACTATCAGCCACCGTGCAGACTCCAGAAACAGACCAGGCCAGCTGGGGGTGGTGGGTGGGGGTGGAGGTGCATCATGAGGCCTCCCATCTCCTGACCAGGGAATGGGAAACTACCCGCTCTGAGGGGCTAAAGCTGGGGCAGGCCTGGATGAGGGGCAATGGAGAAGAGGGGGGTCTCCAGGCTACAGCTAGGCTGGAGGGAGAGATGGAATGGCCAGACAGCAGATGAAGGGTGATACTGACCCATAAAACAGGAAGAGGATGCAGGGAGCGGTGATCATTCGCTGCAGAAATCGCCAGTCCTTAGAGACTAGGGCCAGGCCCAGGAACAGGAAGTGCCCCCCCACCCCCACCAACTCCCCTGCCAGAGCCACCCGGAGCCTCTGGGTTGGGTCGCACAGCTCCAGGCCTGGAGATACAGCGGGGACAGGGAGGAAGGAGGTGTGGGAGAGAAAAGGAGGGGGGGAGGAGGACAGAGAGCAAGGTCAGACCCTGAGTGGAGGCTGCAGCTGTGGCCTCCCACATATTAACCTTTGAATGGCAAAGAGTGGAGAGATTGTTCAGTCCTCTCTCCTCTCCTGCTCAAACCTGGGAGGGCTTGAGGGTCAGAGTCCTTGGTAGGTGTTCAGCATTCCCAATTTACAGGCTCTTTCACATCTGACTTTGACCTTCATATCAACCCTTGTTCAAGGTCACACAGCTAATCAGAAATTAATTTTTCAAATAAGACTCTATTCCCTGACAGCAGTAAGTTTAGGGCAAGAATGACCTTAAAGTCAGTGGAGGGAGAGGAGTGTGGAGAGAAGCAACACCCTTGGATCCTTCAAAGGCCTGGGCAAAAAGCCGAGATTCTGGACAGCTGAAATCGGGGGCTGAAGAAGGGACTGAGGGGACCCTAGGGGGCAGTGGGAACAGCCTGGGGATGCAGACAGGCAGAAGTGAGCCACAAGGGAAGGCCCTCTGGAAGGTACTACTCACGCATTAAGTATACACCAAGGTCAACACCAGCAAGCAGAAAGCCCAGGAGGAATCGGAGGGCCATGACACCTGTGGAGGAGCCTGCAGCAGCCCCTCCCACTCCGCAGGGGCCCACCAGGCCCAAGGTCAGCAGCACAATCCCACGACGGCCAAACCTGGAAAGCAGAGAGGATCTCTGTTCACCCAGACTCCCTGGGGGAGTTGTTGCTGGGCGGGTCTCAGCTGCCCACTTCAAAGCTGGAGGCATGAGGATGAGGCCTTGGGAGCAAGAGTTGGACTGAGGTTAGAGAAGGTAGAAAAGGATGAGGGACCATGGGTAAGTGATGTCTGGCAACTAGGCACTGGGGCGTGGCAATGTTCTATGGGAATAGGACCCCTGACTCTTGGGGATGGGGCTATTGGTCAGAGGTGAGGGCATTTCTCCATGTTAGTGAGACCAACCATCAGAGGGGATGCGGTATTGCTTAGGGGACTTGGAACCATTGATCCTTGGGGGATAGAGGTCAGTGGGGATGGAGCTTGTCTTGCTCAGGCTGGTCAGAGATGGGGTCATTGATATATGGGGTTGAAGCTACTGATCTATAGAGGCGGGGCCATTGGACACTGTGCATGGGGATAGTATTGGTCAGTGAAGATGGACCTATTGACCTTAGGGGACTGAGTAATTGATTTTGGGGGATGAGGCCATTGTCCCATGGGGTTGGGGCATGGGTCTATTAATCTACAAGGGTTGTCAGTGGGAATGGGGCCACTGGCCACAAGACAGAGCTACTGATCCATAGAAATAAAGCTATTAATCCATGGATGGGATAGGACTATAGATCAGTGGGGATAATCCCTAATCTTGAAGATTGGACAATTGTTCTTTGGGGATAGAGCCATTGATTCATGGGGTGGGTATCTTAGTCCATGTGGATGGAGCTATTGATCAGTGAGGATGAATCTATTAATCCATGGGGACAATCAGTTAGGAAGGGGTCACAGACCAGGAGAAATGAGTCTACTGGTCAGTCAGGACAGGGCTAGTGATCTTTGGGGATTAAGACCACTGACCTATGAGAATGAAGACTGGTATCGCTGGTCAAGAAGGGGGCTCTGATCCCTGAGAGTGAAGTTATTGACCCAATAGAGTGGGCCCTTATTTCCATGAGGATGAACTTACTGGTTAATGAGACTAAGGCTACTGAATTTAGGAGACTGAATTATTGGTCTCAGGCGATGAGGCTATGATTCCATAGGAATGATGCTACTGGTCTGTGGGAATGAGGCCGTTAATGCATGAAGATGGGCTATTAACCTGTGGGTTTAGGATCATTTGCCCACAGTGATGTGTGACTACTGGGAAGTGAGGATAGATATTGATTTTAGGGAATTAGGTTATTGAATGTTGGTGCCTTTCATCCATGGGAGCTGAGTTATTAATCCATTTGGATGGGACTGTAAATCAGTGGAGATGAGTCTAATAACCAATGAGGATGGTCAGTGGAGACGGAGTACCTGGTCAGTGGTGATGGTGTCAAGAGTCAGGGAGGGGAGTTTTGAACCTTGGGGAAAGCTACTGGCTGGTGGGGGTGGGGTGAGCTGTTGATCTTTGAGATGAGGCCACTGATTCCTAGAAATGGGCTTTTGGTCTGAGAGGATCTGAGAGCACTGAAGATCCAGGAGGATGGGAATGGGTAGGGGAAGGTGCTATTGTGATCATTGATCCATGGGGGTTGGCCTATTGACCCACGAGGGTGGAGTCATTTGTAGAGTTGAACTATTGGTCAATGGGAATGGGGCTGTCAATTGTTAGGAATGAATGAACATAATGATCTTTAGAAATGAGGTTACAGAGCTAACAGTCCATGTGGGTGGGGCTATTAGTGAGGATGAGCCTATTAATATGAAGATGGCGAGGGAGGTGGTTGGTGGTGATTGGGACAATACAGGAGCTAGGTCTTTGATCTGTAGAAATAGGGTTTTTGGTCCAGCAGAGATGGGGCTATTGTCTTTGGAGATGAAGCCCTTGATCCATGGACATGGGGAATGTGGAATGGGGGTGGAGTTATTCCCCTGTGCAGAAAAGGTGTGGAAGGAATATTTCTCGATGGGGAGTGCAGTTGAGACAGGGGTGGGCTGCATATCATGGAACAGAAGAAGTTCGGAGAAGGCTGCCGAGTCCAGCGACTCCTCTTCAGCCTCTTGCCAACACCAGCTGTCTGGGCTAGCCTCCCTAGTGGCCCCTCCTCTCTGATCGCCCTGTCCCTGGCAGCCCTCACCTGTCCGCGGGGTAGCCCAGGAACAAGTAGCCGGAGGCAAAGCCCAAGATGAAGAGGATCTGCTCCAGGATCACCTGCCAGCCCAGGTCACACACCAGATCCCACTGGGGATGTGAGAAGGATGGAGCGAGTGTGAGGCTCTGCGCTGGTGGCTCTCGGCCCGCCCCGAGACCCGCGGCCCATCCGGGCGCCTCACCTGGCCGATGGCGTTCGTGGTGAGCACTGGCAGGCCGTTGTAGTCCCAGTCCTTGAGGCAGTGGTTGAAGTCCGGGGGGGCAAAGCCGCTGCACGAGGGGTCCGTGCTGGTGGAGACGCGGCTGGCGGCGCTGGCTGCTAGGGCAGCGCTGGCGACGCCAACGCCGCTGGCGTTGGGGGACTGCTCCCAGCCAGAGGCATTGGGGGAGAAGCCCCCGTAGTGGCAATGCAGTGGGGGCGCCAGCGTGAAGATGGGGTCTGAGGCCAGGCCCAGCGCCACGAAGAGCACCGGCAAGCAGCAGAGCCCGAGCTGCAGCTGCTGGCCCCCGCCCAGCGCCCCCACCTGGGCGAGCAGCGCCTCGAAGCTGAGGGGGCCGGGGGGCACGGCTAGCGACAGGCTGCTGCCCAGACCGTCGCCACCCGCGTCGCCCTCCCCCTCCCGCTCGCGCTCGCGCTCGCGCTCACCCTGCAGCTGCTCCGTGGGCGCCGCATCTTCTAGGGTCCCGACCTGCTGGTAGTGGGAGGGTGGTGGCAGGAGAAGGGTGAATTGGAGAAACCGGTAGACCAAGGGAAGAGGGCGGGCGCACGCGCGAGGAAAGCAGTCGGACGCGGGATGCGCGGGGTGAAACGCCAGGCGCTTGGCGGGGAGGCGATGGCGTCCAGGGCGCAGGCACTTACTCCGTTGGGGCTGGGGGCGATCTCTACAGTGCTGTCGATTTTGCTGCTGCCCCCGCCATTGGGCTCGGAGGTCCCGGTGGCCACCCGGGGAGCCAGCTTGCCGAACGCAGGGGCCCTGCCGGGCCTCACCGAAAGGTTGCGCTGCCTTCTGGCCCAGTGGCGCGCCCACTGCCCGGACACAGAGGCCGAAGAGACTCCGCTCTGCAGCTCCGCAGCCGCGGGCGCCTCCTTAGACTCTGCGATCTTTGCGCTGCTTTCCCCTCCCCTTCCTCCAGACTCTCCTCCCCTTCCCACGTCAGCAGATCCTTCGGTCCAGACTCTTCGTCAGAGAGAGGAAGGGGGGCCCAGGCCCAGGGGAGGGAGGGGATGGGGCTCTGTCTCTGTTCGCTGGGTCTGCGGGCCGTTGCGGTAAAAAGGAAAAAAAGCTGAAGGATAGTAGCTAGCTCAGGCCGATACGAGATTCTTGTTTTGCTTCCAATTCTTCCCCATCATCCATCCATCCACTCATTCATTCATCAGTAAAATTTATGAAACGTCTCCTCGGTGCCTGACCTTGTGCTAGGCTTTGGGAATAACAGGATGGACAAGGCCCACCTTGTAGTTGCTTACTGGGGAGACAGACTATATACAGGTAATTACAGTACAGGGCATGCAATATGGAGGGTTGGGTTCTGCACTGTACTCAGCCCTGGCTGCACTCCTCTACAAGACCACTTCTCCAGGTTTCACCACCCCCACTCTGGTTGAGTCTCCATCATTTCTCAACAGCGTTTGGCACTGTTGACCACCCCTTCCTCTAAACACTTTCTTCCTTGGCTAAGTCCCACACTCCCCTGGTTTTCTTTCTCTTGCTCCTCTTTTCTCCACTGCAGGCTCATCCTTCTCTTCCTCACCATCACTCAGTGTCTGCAAACTTCAGAGGCTTAGTCCTAGGTCCTCCTCCCATCTCACACTGTTCTCTGCACCCAGGGATCTCATCCATGCCTAAAGCTTCCCCCTCAATATAAACAATCCAATCCAATCCAAATCTGCTTCCCAGATTTACATCTCCAGCTGCCATCTCTCTTCTGAGCCCCAGACACTTGAAGTCACCATTTTTTTGACCTCTTACCTTGGATGACGCATAGGGATCTCAAACTCAGTGCGTCCAAGATCAAACTCATGTTCTTCCCCCTGTAACCTGGTTGTCTTCAAGTGCTTCTTTCCTCAATGAAGGGCACCCTCATCATCCAATTGTGGCCAAATGCTCAGGTGACAGCCCTTAGAATGCCCTCTTTCTTCCCCTCCACCCCTTCAAATCCTTTACAAAATCCTGTCCATTTTACTTCCTATACAGTTCTCCGATAGTCCCCTCTCTCCATCTCTACCACTACTCAAGCCACTTGTTGCACAGACTGTTTAGCTTCCTAATTCCTGATACTCTGTGTCCACTGTGTTTCCTTCCCCTTCCCCCATCTGTTATGTATAATGCAGATGGAGTGATCTTTTCAAAATGCAGATCTGTTCATGTCTCTCTCCTGCTTAATAGCCTTCTATGGCTTCTCCTCACCATCCAGGTAGAGAGTAATCTTTTCTAGACACCTCATACGTGGTCCTGCTTGCCTGGCCCCATGCTCTTTGCAGTTCCATCTCACTTCTCAAACTCTGCACTGCATCTACACTGGCCTTTTTTTTTTTTAAAAGATTTTATTGGGGAATTGGGGAAGGGGAACAGCCACGTTTTTGTCCTTCAATCTTAGTTGAAGGGTGTAGGGTGCAGCCAGCTCAGCTCCAAGTCCAGTCACCATCCGGCCTGCCCCGGCCACTCAGCTCAAGGTACCAGTGTTCAATCTTAGTTGTGGGTGTGCGTAGCCCACCATCCCATGTGGGAGTCAAACCGGCAACCTTGTTGTTAGGAGCACATGCTCTCACCAGCTGAGCTATCCTGCCACCTGTTGGCAGCTCAGCTCAGGGGCAGCTCACTGGCCCATGTGGGAATCGAACCAGCCACCCTGTTGCTCAGCGCTCACGCTCTTAACCAACTGAGCCACTCGGCTGGCTTATAGCTTTTTTTTTTTTCAATGCCACAGTACCCTTGCATAAAGCTGGTCTTTATGCATAGAAGTCTTCTCCTCCCCCTTAGTTCTCATCCTTCAGCCATCAGCTCAAGCATATTTGTCTCAGAGAAGCCTTCCCTAACTCCTAGAATTGCTACTCAAAGTGTGATTTACAGAGCAGCAACACCCACATCACCTGGGAGCTTGTTAGAAATGTAGAATTGCAGGCCTTTTTACCAGATCCCCAGGTGTATGTACATTAAAGTTAGAGAAGCACTTCTCTAAGAGATTTGATACCTAATAGGTACTTTATTCTCTAATCTCAGGTAAGGGCTGGAAAGGAGTGTCCTGTCAGTCCCAGCCAGGAAATCCATTCCCTCGTCTCTCCAGAGACACACTTCTAGTTTGTCTCCTCTGTTGAAAAATTTTCCAAATATGGGCAAGTCTACTAATGCATTTAGCAGCTTCCCATCACTTCCCCTCCCCCAGCTCATTTCAGCACCTCTTCAGGAATTTCTTTGGTGCTGTCATAGCTAACATTCCTTGGGGATTTGTCTGTGTCCTTGTGTCTGTCCTGGAATTACAATCCCTTAACTTTATGTCTGCTGGGCTGTTGATATGCTTTATCTTATTAGGTCCTCACAACAACCCTGTTGAGACCATTATGATCATCCTCATATCAAAGATAAAACTGGGATTCAGAGGGACTGACAGGATTTACCCACAGACACATAGGTACATGGTGGTTCTGGCACTTGCTCTGAGGCCTCTGACTCTAATTTCAGGCCGACCTCTTAAAGTTCTGGAAGATGATGGGGATGGCCCCTGTTATGTCTTGAACACATAGGGGAGAATTTTGTTGGCCCCAAGATCTGGAAATGACTTCTCTTGAGAGTGAAATGAGGAAGGAACCCATAATGGAGGCAAATGCATAGGGGGTGTCAAGACACTAGGGTTGTGACTCAAGTTTGGGGTGCCTCCAATCCAGTCACTGTGCCAGGGAGTCATCTAAGGAATGCAGAACTGAAACAATGGATGTGGCATGGACTTCGTCCCTTGTGGCAAATGGCTGGAGTGATTCCCCATCCAAGCCATGGCTCATCTGTCTCACCAAAGCCCTGAAGACTATGGACTTCTTACATTCATCTGCCCCTCAGCAACTCTAAAAGATGGTGTGTCCAGAACGATGCTCAGCCGGATGCCTGGGAAGGGGGAGTTTAAGGGGCCAGACCCTCTTGGGTTAACCTAAGGGAGAGAGCACCAAGATCAAGGCCGGCCAGAGCTATCCTACAGCACAAAGCTGAGGATAGTTAGTGTGACCTCTTTAGCACAGCACCTTTTAAGGCTCTCATGTGGCCGACCTCTCCACATGAGCACCTCTCTAATGACATCATTTGACAATGAGGTCTTGGAGGCCACAGGTCAGTAGTCAGTGTCTGTCTTCCTGGAATCCTAGTTCTGGCTCTCCTGGGTTCTCTCATCCTTGGGGTCTCAGCTCTGATATCACTTTCCAACCATCCTGCCTAAAGTCTCCTTCAATGGTTTTTCCCCTCATCTGATTAGTCCTTCATATCACCCTGTTTATTTTCATTATCAGCAAGTGACTTGTGTCCATTCCACTCCCACAATGTATGTGCCTGGCATATGATGGGAGCTGAGAACCCGCAGAATGAATAGTTGTTGACGAAACAATGAAATTTCCCGAAAAACCCTAAAGGCATCCTGTCCATAGTGTGTGTCCCATAGGTTTGGCCAAGGGGCACCAGAGCCACCCCCAGGCTCCTAAGAAGCAGAGTCAGGGAGCCAGACAGTAGGGTTTATTGAGGTGCATGCCCAGTCCCTGAGGACCAGCTCTCCCACTTCCTGTGGAGAGGAGCCCTCTGATTTCTCCCAGACCTTCATATTCTGGGTGGTCAATGTCCTGCCCTCACTCTAACTAACAGAGAGGCACTGATGTTCTAGAGCCAAGAGAAAGGACAAGAAAGGGGCTCCAGGTGACCCAGGTTTCGGCCACCGGATTCTCTGTGGGGCCAAGCTTCCAGAGGTGGGTGGCAGTGTAGTGACAAGACTCTCCACTCCAGGCTGAGGGAAGTAGCAAGAGTCCAGTTCCTCCCTGCCCCAGGGGACCTGGCACTTGCCCTTGACAAAACGGAACAATATTAAATAAAAATAATTTATACAAAATGGCTTGTACAAAAACCTGCAGGGTAGGGGGCAGAGATGTCTCTGTGAGATTGAGATGACTGGAAGGGGAGGAATGAGGAAAGATATTGCCACCTCTCCTAGTCCCTAAAACAGAGCCTTCCAGTCGCCCAAGGTCTGGAGGGGATCTCTGGCAGGCAGGGGAGGGACAGATTGGATCCCTCAGGGGGCAAGGCTTGTGAGCAGGTTGGTGAATTGCAGGGCGTGCCCTTCCAGCTTCGCCACACACTGTGCCATCTCTTCGGTCGCAGGGCTGGACGGGTAGCCCAGGGCAGCTGCCTTGACAGCCAGCACAGTGGCCCGTAATGCCTGGCCCAACGCTGTGCCTGCAGCCCCGACCTGAGCTCGGAGAGGGGTGGAGGCTGCCAGCCGGTTCAGGGTGTCCCCAACAAACACCAGGCGGTGAGCGGCCACCACCACCCGCTTGCCATGGGGCACGAAAAGGCGTGGGGGCTGGTTGGCCCTGGTGCTGGACATCAGGGCTGCCACGGCTGCCTGCAGTGCTGAGTAATGGCTCTGGCACTGCCCTGCGTAGAAGTGCAGGAGCTGTAGATCTCCGGTGGGCAGAACCAGTGGCTCCCCAGGGGACAGGGCGTCCTGAGGGCAAGAGGAGTGGTCAGTGAGAAGGCTCTCATTAGTGTCACTCCTGCTCTAGCTTCCTTTCTCCTCCCCTCCCTTTGTTCCTCAGGCCTTTCTTTCTTCCTAGTGCAACCCCTTTAGCTCTTATCTTTGCCCATCAGAAAATTTAGTTTCTCATAGTGAGTGGCAGGAAAGTGCTCAGAGTTGACATCAGACAAATCTGGATTCAAACAGCCTCAAGCAAGTCTCTGAACTTCTTCCCTCGAAGAATCTGGATTCAAACAGCCTCAAGCAAGTCTCTGAACTTCTTCCCTTGTCTCTAAACTGGGGCATCTAGTACTGCACTATCCAATACAAACAATGCAGATCACACGTGTGATTTTAAAATTTCTAGTAGCCGCGTTAAGAAAATTAAAAAGAAACTGGTATATTTTTAAATCCCAAACATAAAAATGTTGTAATTTCAACATGTAGTCAATATAAAAGTTATTGAGATGCTTTTTTTCATATTAAGTCTAGAAATTCTATTTTATTTATTTATTTAGCTGAGCCATCCTGCCACCTGTTGGCAGCTCAGCTTGGGCCGGGAATTGAACCGCTAGTTGCTCAGATCTCACACTCTTGAGCAAGCTCTTAACCAACTGAGCCACTCGTACTGCCCTGGTATGCATTTTATATTACAGCACATTTCAGTTCAGACTAACCCCGAAAAGTGCACATGTGGCTGGCTAGCGACTACCACATTGGATAGCACAGGCCTAGTATCTATCTCCTAAGGCTGCAGTGAAGATGAGTTGATACAGTATTTAGAAAGGGCTCGGAACAGAGCATTGCACACTGTAAGCCTGGCAGGAGTACTAACTCTGGCTTTGATTAGTGTTGACGCATGCGATGTACTTAGCACAGAGTCTGGCACTTAGTAAATACCTGATAAATGGTAGCGACTGTGATTAAAACCATTCTAGACAGAGTCAAGGAGACCACCTCACTTTCCTGAGGCCCAGAGAGATGAACTGGCCACTTCAGAGCCCCTGGCTTTTTCATGGTAGAGCCAGGTCTCTTAGGAACCCAGGAAATCAGTTGGAAGGAGCCTCAGAAGTAACCAGGCCCAGCTCTGACCCACAGCCCAGAAACTTTCTGCTCCACAATGCTCAGTTTTCTGATTCATCTCCAACACATTCTTTCCCCTCTTTCTGAATTCCTGATATTCTTTTCTAAATTCCAGCTCCTTCCTGTTGAATTTTAACTCCTGTCTACTCCAACTGTTCCATTTCACTGAACTTTCACCCCTATCCTAGTTCCTCTGATGGTTCAGTTAAGGATACTCTTTCTTCCAAGTTCCTGCTCCTCCTTCCCCAGTCCTTCTCGAGCATCACCCCCATAGGGTTACCTGCTGCTCCGGTGGTCCCCTCTCCAGCAGTTCAGGATCCCCTGGGACGGCCTTATCCAAGGGCCTAGATCCCTGAGCTTTATCCATGCCCTGCAGGAAGGGGTCAGAGTCTCAGTGCAGGGGTTGGCTGGTCTCTCTGGCCCTCCCCACTCCGCCTTCCTCCCTGAGGTCTCTCCTGCCATCAGAGGTTGCAGTTCCTGGACTCTAGGTCTGGGAGAGCTCTGGTGGCAAGTCAGAGGGCTCAGGGATCGCAGCCTGGGTTTAGGGGGAGGAATGTGTTACTGGTACAAGTAGTGTGGCCAAGTACTAGAGTCCTAGGCCAGAGGGTGCAGGGCCAGTGGAGGAGGAGGAGAGTGTCTGTATCAGCCCCGGGCCTCCTTACTCCTCCCCAGCTCTCCAGGCGGCATTTTGGGCGGGGCTGGCTGGAGGTGAGCTCACCTTCAGGTGGACATAGTCGTACTCCTCAGACATCGGGATGCCCTCATACTCATTGTGGTGTCCTGCTGGACCGTCCTCCAACTCCCTGTCCTCTGAATCCTCCTCAACCTTAGGGCTCCCATAGCCAGGCAGGCGGGGTGGGGGTGGGGGCAGAGGCCTGTCCTGGATGCTGCCCTTCCGGCCTGGAGCAGGAGAGGGAGCTGGGGAGGGGCTGGGGGCCTCAGGGACAGGCAGGGCAGGCAGAGGGCGGCGGGACAGACTCTCAGCAGAGGGCAGCCGGGGCCTGTGTGAGGGTGGAGGGCTTCTGGCCAGGAGCAGGGCCAGGGTGTCCGGGTCATTGGAGGCCAAGGCTCCCAGGGGCTCTGGAGAAGGGGGTGTCTCTGGCCCCAGCAGGGGAACGTCGTAGATGCCCTCCTCAGTGTCCCCGCCTTCCCCATCTGCTTGCAGTTCCTCAGGTGCTTCATACAGATTGAGCAGAGCTGATGCCCGTTTCAGGTTGGAAGGGGCAGCGTAGAGAGGGGGACCTGGTTCTCGGCCCCCCTCCCACTCCAGATCTGGCTCCAGCTCTGATGGTGGCTTTGGGGCCAGAGGCACATCATAGGGAGCTTCATCCTCTCCAGGGGCCTGCGGGGTGACCAGGGCCAGAGGGCGGGAAAAGGAGGCAGGGGAGTCATAAGGACCACTGGAAGGAACTCGGAGGGCAGTGGGGGGCACATCGTAGACCTGGAGAGGGAACGGCTAGTTACTCTCAGCAATTGACCCCCTCCAGAGCTGTCTGTTCCCTGCCCAACATACACAGACCTCTAGCCCTCACCTCCAAGGCATCCCCAGAGGCAGCCAGTTGGGTCCCGCCGCCTCTGGGAACCTTGTAGATGGGGTCAGGGGAAGGTGGGCAGGGTCCAACCGGAGATCCTGAGGTCAGACAGGGACGAGCTGGGGGTGGCACCACATACACCTGGGGGATCAAGATGAGTGGGTCAGGAGGAGTGGGGACCAGGGAATCAGGTAATGTGTGTGCCTTGGAGGAGAGTAGACACTTCCCAGCCCTCTCCCTGTCCCAAGGGGAAATAGAAGAACCCAGAAAGGGTTGACAGGCTTCATAAAGCAGAGCCCTGAAGAGCTGCGTGTGGTCTCAGGGCTCTCCCTGCCCCGGGGTTGGGAGGGCTCCAGCTCTCACCTCCTGGTCCTCATTGCTGTGCTCTGGGGCTGGATGTGGTGAGCCAGGCTCGGCTGGGGGCACCTGGGAGAGGCTGCGCTTGGGTGCTGGGCCAGGAGGAAGGAGCTTCACTCTGTTGGCGGGCACTATGCCCTGCTGGCCATGCAGGGAGCAGAGGCACCAGCCGTCCAGCCCACCAGCGCCCTCCCTCTGCAGTACCCGTAGAACATCCCCTCGGCGGAAGGACAGCTCCTGGGGGGACTCAGCGGTGTTGTCGTAGAGTGCCCGGGCCAGCTGGGCCTGATGGGTGAGGTGGAGTGGGGAGAGGGGTCTTCATACACATATCAGGTCATGTCACCTCCTGCTCAAAACACTTTAGAGCTCCCATTTCCTTCAAGCTAAAAATCTGACCTCCTGATTCAGACTTTCCTGACTGGGCTCTGCCTTGTCTCCAGCTTCATCCCCTGGACTCCCCTCTTCCTTTCTATTCCTTGAACTAGACAAGCTCTTTCCTACCTCAGGGCCTTTGCACTTGCTGTTAAAAGGTCTTTTCTTCACTTTTCTCCTACCCCATTCTGTGTCTGTCTCCACTCATTGTTTCCTTCATAATACTTATTGTATTTGTCTGTTTATTTTTATTATCAATTTCTTCCCCTATATGGTCAGCCCTGTGAGAACAGGGACTGCTATATTCCTAGCCTCTGCAAAAGGGCCTGACCTGGAATCAGTCCTCAATAAACATACGCTGAATGAATTTCCTCCAAAGCCTCGTGTACACAAGGAAGTCCTGCTAAGGTCTCCCATAGAATCTCCTTTATCTCCCCTGTTTCCCAGTCAGCATCCCCCACAAACAAAAGGCTAGATGAAGCAGCTGCAGAGACCCCTCATTCTGAGAGGGACTGGGATTGGCCCAGCCCAGACAGTGCTTAGGAATAATGAGGAAAACGGAAACTGAAGCAATTGTTTTGTTCTCAGTCTGAGCAAATAAGGTTCTCAGAAGAGGCTGAGGTTACCATGAAGAAATGGAAAAAGTATATGTGTGTGTGTGTGTGTAAGGGGCTGGTGGACCAACCAAGAGCAAGTATTTATCAGCCTGTTTCCAGTCCCCTCTGGTGGGACATCTAAACTTTTTCTTTGAAGAGCCACACACTTAGGTAATAAGTCACAGATACCAAGTGCAAATTATGTATCCAGATACTTTGCAAGTTTTTGGTCTAATCATCTCATCTCATTTAATCCTCACATCAACCTTAGGAGGGAGGAGCCATCATTATCCTCACCTGGAAAGGAAACTGGAACAGAGAGGCTAGTATTTTGCCCGACGACATACAGCTAGTGCAGCTGGTGGAGCATATTTGAACCCCTGGCTGCTTGATTCTAGAGCCTGCACTCTCAATCACTCGTCTACTGCCTCTCCGTAATCACAAAAATACAGATCTACCTTTTCCTTCTTATATTAGGAACAGTGGTTAAGTCAAGGAGGTTCATGACTCAAGCGCATATAAAATCTTCATTATACCCAATTACCCTTTGCTAGTTCCCCTTCATAGGGCTCTGGTTCCACAATGTCCTTTGGTAGAATCAAGCTTAAGCCACTCACGATCTCGAAATATATTCTGCTTCAGTTATGTTTGCTAAATGATGGCACCTGCAGGCAGGATCCCAGGCAATGGTGGCTTACACAGTGGTGGTGGAGAAAGATAGTTAAGCATTACCGAACAGGTAATCCACAGGGGCTAATTCAGTAAAAAATCTCAAGCTAAAGATCTCAGGCAGGTTGTATTTGGCTGGCAGGCCCCCTTGGTGAGAAGGATGCCCTGCTCAGCCAGCATGATTGCATGTTTCTCTTGGCTGGTGTTTCCCTCAGGTGGAGAGGTTGTCAGCTCTTCATGGCTGGGTGATTTCAACAGCAAACTGACTTCTCCTCTTGCCTGATTCCAAACTTATCAAACCATTTTCTGATTATGTTGGCTTCTAAAGGATATTGTCCCATAGAAAGAAAACATGCTAACCAGGTGATACAAATTCCTGGTTAGCATGGCACTTTTCTTTCTAATTATAAATTTTAAATTGATGTTTTGGATTTAGCCAAGGGTTAAGAGCACACACACACCTCTGGGTAAAAAGAAAAATCTGCCTCCTGGGATGACAAAATTGACCAGCTGTCTCCTGAGCCGGCATCTTTATGTCGCAGTACACCCACTATTTTCTCGACCTCCCCCTTTCCTGGCTCTGAAAACTATGATGGTTTTTCTCACCATCATACAAATGGAGGAACTAAAGGGAATTTGGTCTGAATAGTGAAAACTGAATTTATCCTGGAAGGATACGGGAGGATGTCAGGAACCATGCTTCTCTTTCCAGCCTCACAATCCTCCTGCCTAGAGTACCCATTCAGAGGGGGCCAAAAAGCAGGTGGCAGCCTGGCTTTCCCTGGGGATCCTAGGGCCTAGGGAAGGGTGGGAAAGGACAGAGTTGCTTGGATTCAGACGACAGGGAGTGCAAGACAGAAAGCAGAGGTGGGGCTGAGGAGAGCTCCTCCCAGTGTTAGGTTTGAATTCTGTCCAATGGGGCCAAACCTCTGGGCCTTGCAATTGGGGGGGAACCCAGGCCAAAGTTGCTGATAAACTGATTGATGATGGGTGTAGCCACCTCTATCCCCTCCTCAGGGACCAGGCTGACTAGTGAGGGAGGGGCTGACTTAATGGGGGGTGACAGCAGGCCAAGCACTCTCCTGGACTCCTCCCACTGTCCCATCATGCCAGCTGTCTCCTCCCTTTGTCCCCAGTCCCCAGAAAGTGGCCAGAGGCTGGCTGACATCACCTCCCTTCCTCCCTCTATTTTCTCTTTTTCCCTGCCTGATCGCCCTCTTTTGCTCCATTCCCTCCCCCCTCCACCTTTTCTCCATCCCTCCTCTAGAGAAGGCCCACCTTGGGCTCTCCAGCTTCTCCCATTTGCCTGGAGCCACCTCCGTTCTTTCAGCCCCCTCCCAACCTTTTACTTGCCTCCCAATCACAAGCCCCTGCCAGCCACCAGTGGCCATCTGTTCTGCCCATAAAAGAGCAGTAAAACTCGGGCTAGACTTGCCCCCCTCCCCTCCATCCCTGGGCAGCCTCTAGAAAGAAAAAGAGAATGGGGAGAGGAGGGGGAAAGGAGGAACCTAGACCCACAAGGAGCTAGGGATGAACAGTGAGGAGAAAGGGAAACAAAAGTGAGAAGAGAGGGACACAGCCTCCTGGAGAAGAAAGGGACCAAGGAAAGAGACAAAGAGAAGGCAGAAATAAAAGTGACATGAGTGCAGGGCAACTGTGAAGTTCTCTGCCCCTCAGCCTCCTTTCCCTGGTGGACTCACCGACGTGGCTATGGCCATGGCCTTGGCCTCCTGCGTGGCCTGCTCCAGGCCAGGCTCGGTTTCGCTGACTTCAGCAGCGGCTGCCCCGCACCATGGAGGCGGCCCCCGGCTGCGGCGCCTGAGTCGTGGCCTCCGCGGAGGTTGGAGGAGGAGAAAGAAAACCCACAAAACTCCCCAAATGGGAGGCAGCTTGGTCGGGCAGGAGGAGGAGCAGGGCGGGCCGGGGCGTCGCTGCGGGACCTCATCCAAGGGCGCGAGCTCTGCACTGTCCCCACGGCCTCCCGGGGGCCGCCGGGCTGGCCAGGCCCCCGGAGATGCCTGCCTTAGACCGCCGAAGCACCCCAGGTCCGCATGGACCTCAAGTTCCCTTCTAGGGCCGGGGCAGGAGAGGAGGCGGAAGCTAAGGCTGCGCTCGACGACTCAACAGGCCACTCAAGACAGGCCCTGAGGGCTGGGAGAAGCCGCCTGAGCGGTTGGGCTGGACAAGCGAGTTTAGGGACCAACCTAACCCCACCCGGGGCCAAAGAGCGGGGATCCCAGGGCTGTGTTCGGGGCGATCCCGGCGCTGTAGCGGCCCCGCTGCTGGGGAGGGAGGGAGAGCTAGAACTGAGCCATCGGTCCCTCTTCAAACTCGCCCATCTTGGCGAAAGGAGGCCAGGCTTACACCAGAGGCCTGCGAGAGCGTGGCGGTGGGGCCGCGTGGCCCGAGCGGCTGCTTTCCGCCCAGACACTCGCAACTTCGGCGGTGAGGCGGTTCGCACTCGCTCTCAGCACATCCGGGGCCTGGGGACGCCGCGGTAACACGCGACGAGGCTCGAAGGGGCGGGATGGCCTTCCACGGCCGCCGAGAGGCCCGCCCGCCCTCCTCCGCCCCTCGGCCGCAGCGCGCAGGGCCACCGGCTCCAGCTCCCACCCTCGGCCCCCAGCGCCCGGCGCGAGGGCGCCGCCCCTCTCACGCGCACCCTGGGCAGGGCCCCTCGGCGCTCCCCGAGCGCGGGGCAGAACCCAGGTATCTCTGGGAACGGAGAGAAAGGCCAGAAAGCAAGAGGAGCGAAGAGAAGGCGGAGGAAGGGCAGGGGCCGGGGTCCCGGGGATTCGCCTGGAGGTGGGGTGGACACTAAGAGCAGGGCTGGGAAGGCTCTGGGGGTCGCGCGTGGCCTTCAGGCTCACCCCCGCTCGCGGCTCCCCTGCCCTCCCCTTCCCAGGCTCCCGGATCCCTTTCAGGGTAGTTTCTTTCTCCTCCCCTCAGGCCCTCTCCGCTCCGGCTCGAGGCTCGGTCCTGGGGATTAAGAGAAAGGAGGGAGGGGAAAAGGGAGGGAAAGGGAAGGGGCGGAGGAGAAAGGAGGACGATCCCTCCAGAGGCGGGTGTTGAGTTTCAGCTCAGGACCCTCGGGCCAAACCGCACGCCCCCTCCCGGCCCCTCTCCCTGGCGCCTTCTTCCCGAGGTCGCGGTGGCCCTCCGGGTGGTCCGGTCAGCTCCCTCCGCGGAGCTTGCCGCTCCCCGCCACGCCCCCGCTCTCCCCTGCCAGCCCCGCGCCTCTCTCTGCCTCCCTTTCATTAGCCCTACATCTGTCTTTCCCGTGGGAGGGAGAGCGCTCCTTCCGCCTTGCTTGGGTCCTCAGCCGAGCCTCTCTTCTCCCTTGGCGTTGCCTTTGCAGGGGCGGCAAGGCTAGCCACCGTGCCTGCGGGGGATCGGGGCTGGACTGGGGTCGGGGTCTGTCTTGTGGACACGAGTTCTGGCCCTAGCAAGAGAACGTGAAGCTTAAGCGTCTGGTCCCAGAGCTGCGGGAGGGCAAATTGTGCCGCCTCTTACACTCTTCTGCCAGCCTGGGCCTGTCCCTGGCCCTTGCCCCGGCACCCTCCTGCTGCCACGAAGAGCAGGAGTCGAGACTGCGGGCACAGAAGAGCAGAAGTCTTTCAGTGAAGCTGGGTTCTGACCTCCCAGGAGTTTCAGCTGAGAGGACCCAGCTTTGGGGTCTCCATCCGTCTCCTGTTATATAACTGATCAGTGTGTGCACTGTCTCCCTCCCGTTACCCCCCTCTCCTGGTTCTTCCTTTTGGGGCACACATCAAGGCTTCCCTGCAGCCTTCCTTCTTCCGTTTTTGAGGTTCCTGATATTTAAAAAGTGAGGTGCCAAAAAGGATTGAAAAGCTGTAGCCTATTTTCAATATCTACATTTAACAAAATAACACTTTAAACTGTCAATGTAAGTTAAGAAACATCCAAACCCGTAGAGAATTTTTATGAGTTTATTTGAGCCAAACTGATGACAATGTCGGGAAATAAGATCTCAAATGCTCCAGAGAATTATAGTTTTGCAGTTCCTTTCTTTTTAAAAAGATTTTGTTGGGGAATTGGGGAAGGGAAACAGACAAGTTGCTGTCCTTTTGTTCCTCAGTCTACTTGTGGAGGATGTCACTTCACTGGCCCGTTTTGATATTGTGATCACTGTGCTCTTCCCCGGGTGAGGCAGTCAATCGCTGGCCATTGGACTGCTGCTCTCGAGGACTCACCGCAGCTGAGGAAAGTTCATGCCCTCTGCTGGCCAGCCCCATTGCAGCCTACACCAACGCAGGCGACTGACGGAGCCATCTCCAGGTTGAGCTGTTGTTCACCATCTTAGCTGTAGAGGGTGCAGCGTCACTGGCCCTCATATGTGGGATCCGAACCGGGGTCCTGCTGCTCAGAGCTGGCGTCCCAAGCCAACTCCTAACCAATGCACCACTCTGGTGGCCCTGCAATTTCTTTTGTACAAGGAGAGAAGTTAAGGCAGGTTACATGAAGGTAGAAGAAAAGAAGATACATAGGATAGTTAACAGGATTATATGCTCCCTTGAGGGTGCTTATGCCTTCAAGGGTTCTGGAAAAGATGATTACTTCTGGTGTTTCAAAGGTATGTTAACTTAGATGCACAAGAACAATGGACAGGGCTTGCATAAGGCAAAGATAAACCTTTTACTAAAGAAGTTATATGCCTGGGTTGTGACTACCCACCATGACCCGCCCTGTTAGGAATCTATGATCAGATCGCCCTGTGAGGTTATTTTCCATCACTGAACTTGTACATACCCCCCTTTTGTCCATAAAACACACAAAAATAGACTCTATGTATAACTTCATTTGGCAATGACATCATAAGTCTAATTTAAGGCCCTTTGTGGACCTGAGGCCTGGGACAGATAGATGCTCCCCTCTCCATATTCCACAGGCCCAGGCCTCCAGGCATTTCCCAGGAGGGGAGGAAGGGAGGAGGGGAGAATACCTCCTCTGGCTCCTTTCCTTCCCTATTGCTTGGACACCTATGAAGAACCCTGTGTAGAGGGGAGGAGTGGAATCTACAGGTGGATAAGGGAGAGATTCTGGGGTAAACGTGGGGATGGACAATATTGGTTCTGGGCCTTGGCTCAGAGATGGAGTGCAGACCTGGGAATGGGGCTGGGAATCCTGAACAGACTCAGACTCCCTTAGGATGGTAGAGGAACTTTAAAATTTCCAAATGCATCTGAAGGAAGAGCTCCCCCATCCCAGCCTTAGCCTGGTCCAACTTCCAACAGACCCCAGCCCTGGGGGGTGGGGGGGGGGGAGAGGCTGGCTGCCTGGAACACAGACACTCAGGGGAGTGACTGTATGATCTCTGCCCAAGGGACTGCCAAGGCAAATTTGGGGCCCACAAAGAAGGTGATCAGGAAACCCAGTTCCCAAAGATGAACGCTCTGACTGGCACAGGGGAAATAGATGGAGGCTAGAAAAGGCTGAGCAGGAAGGAAGCTCTAGGACCAGGCAAAAGGGTTGTTTGGGAAGTGGGTAATGAGGCTCAGTGCCTGGGGAAATGTAGGTGAGGGCAGCAGAGTGCAAACCTATGAGAAAGTACTACCGCTTCTGGAGTGCCTAGGTACTGAATGCAGACAGACTCTGGAGTGAATCCTGGTTTATTAGCTGTGTCACCTTGGTCAAGTTATATAACATCTCAGAGTCTCAGTTCCTCATATGTAACAGTGACTTTGGTGAAGAGCGAATATGTGTAAAGTGCCCGGTACACTGATATCCCTCCACTTTTCCTCTTCACCTTGGCTCCCCCCACGATTTGTGGTTTCATGAAAGCTGAAAGGGTTTTTATTTTTTTTCTGAGGCCAGGAGGAGCCCTTTCTCTGTCATTATGCCTCATCCCTGCCCTCTCCTTTGCAGAAGTTTAAGGTGATTCTAACTTGTTCAGGGAGAGCTGTGGGCTCCAGGTAAGGTTGGAGAAAGCCCAGGTTAGGGGAGCAGCTAAGACCTTGGGAGGAGGGTGGGTGATGCCTCAGGCAGCCAGGCCCTCAGCTTTGTGGCTTGCCTTTGCTATATTCAGGAGTAAAAAAGGAAGGAATCTCTCCATCTGGCTTCCTGGGTCCCAGTCTTCTCTCCCCTTCCCAGCAGGGCAAACCAGCTGGTCTCTTCCTCATCCCCTTCCCATGACTTCCTTGACCTATTCTTGTTTCCCCTGCTACTCAAAACTTCTCAGGTTCTTCCAGTTCTCCTCCTTTTTGAACCCCTCAGCATCCAGATTGCCTGGGTTCTAATCCTGGTTCCAACACTAGCTGGTGACAGTGGCAAGCTACATGGCCTCTTGAAGCCTCTGGTTTACTGTCGGTAAAGTGGGATAATAATGGAACTGATAGCATTAGCTTGTTGTGAGGATTAAAAGAATCCTGAGAACAGTCCTGCCCATGGTGTGTAAATGTTGCATAAAAGCAACTATTATTGTTCTTTGATGCCAGCCCTGGGGGGTGGCATAATATCAAGGACACTGTACTCATCCTTGGGAAACTCACATCAAGTTGATATTGCCTGAATCCAGTCAATGCCTCCCCACGGACCTTGAAATAAAATCCAAATGCTTCACCACAGCCTGTGGGATGGGACCCTATGTGATCTGGTCTCTGACCACCTCTTCCACCTCATCGCATCCCAGTCTTCCCCTCATCCTTTGTTTTCCATCCACACTGTCTTTTTTGTTCCTCAAATATGCCCAGTTCTTTCCCACCTCTAGGACTTTGCATGTCTGGCTCCCACTGCCTGGATCACTCATCCCCTAGACCCTTTCCATCATTATGTCAAATTCTGACTCCTCAGAAAGGTTTTCTAAGTTAAAGCAGCTCCCCTCCCCCCACAACTCCCTATCTCATAACACTGTTGCATTTTCTTCATAGCACTTATTATTATCAGAAATTATCTCATTTCTTTCTTTATCATCTGTCCCCTAAGATAGAAGCTTCATGAGGCAGGGACCTTATCTGGCTTGTCCTCTGCATTCCTAGCATTTGGAAGAGTGCCTGGAGTATAGTAGGTGCTCAATAAATATTTGGCAACTAGATGTATGAACAGGGACAGCCATGACTGTAGGACAAAGCTGAGTAAGCCACGGGACGTCTGTGGGGAAGACACCAGCCCTGGGTTGGGGAGGGAGTTGCGGGGCTTCTTGTCCTGTGCATTCTGATTCTCCATGTTGTCTCCCAGGCCAGACTGGGCTCTCTTTGAAGGTAGGCTCCTGAGCCTAAGAATCTTTGTAACTAAAGATGACACCACAAATAATTAGCAACCAGCATCACCTACCAATCAGGACACAGAGTGGTGTTCTGGAGGCCCCTGAGCAGGCCTTCAGTTGCAGGATCACAGGGAGGCTGTGATAGGGGTGCCCCAGGGCTGAGGATATCATCTACTTACCAGCAGAGGCAGAGGCATTTTAACCACCAGTGCCCCCACCTCACATCAGGTGAGTGCAGGTGAGCTTTAGTAAACTCTGCTGAATCCTGTGGTTTTAGCACTATTTCAGGGAGCTGAGGTCCAGAGCAGCTAAGCTGGTTGGTGCTTTTGTAGCCATCCAGGTTAACCTCCCTCTCCACGCCAACACATACACACTTCTACAAATAAGGAAAAAGAACCAGAGAGGGCCCAAGGTCAAGGGCTGATCAGAGGCAGGGTCAGGACTTCAAGGCAGTGGTGAGAATTTGAATGTCTTCCTGAGAAAGGGCAGGGCAGCCATAGTCTAGCTTTCTCCAAGACCCAAGAGTCTTTCTTGGGCAAGGGTGAGGGTGTATTCCGTCACATCATCCCTTCCCTTTCCTGTTAGATGTGATCTCTCTTCCCAGGGGTACAGGGGTGGGACTCCCAGCAGGTCCCCTCTGGCTTCCAGGTCAGGCCCTGGCAGGTGAAGACACATTGGGAGGCACCCTTGATGTTAAGTGCTGGGCAAACTTTCCTTTGCTCCCACCTCCAGCATTCTCCCCATTGCCACCCCCATTTCCTCACACCTCCATGGATTCCCTGGAAGCTGAAGTGACTCAGGGATTCCAAATCTAGTCACCCAGGAGGAGAACCCTCTGGAAAATGTTTCTCATGACAGACAGTCACTCTAAGGAGTCCCACTGAGATGCTACTGAGACAAGGGCACAGGCTGAGCAAGCCAGAGTGGAGTGGGGGCATGTGGCTCAGAGCACAGGTTCTGTCAGGCCTGGTCATCACTGGGGGACACTGTGCTTGGAGGGGCCCTCCTTCTGCCTTTCAGGAGTTTCCTCAGAGGAGGTCCTGGTACAGACAAGGGTCACTGCAAAGGCCTCTCCTGAAGGTCAATATGGGTCCTTTGCAGCATCAGCAAGTAAAACAGGTAGATAGGATCGCTTCCAGATCCTTCAAGCACCCTCCTCCTGGATGGGGATGGGGTGGGGGCAAGATCAGGAGATCTGGGCCAAGGCCAGGCTCTGAGGCTCTGATTGGTTTGGTCTAGACCCACAGGGATCTAGTTCTTCTGGAAGAGCACTGCCCCTCAAAACCTTTCCTAGGCTTGGAGTTTGCTCAGGAATACCAATAACCACCCTGGGGGCCACGGGCCAGACCAAAGGCTGGGGAATAAGAAGTGGGAGCAGTGGGTCCCAGCCAACAGGAATGAATGCTAAGTGGGCAGGAATGCCCTGTGGCCTCAGGCAGGTTCAGTTGTCCCCACCCAAGCCCACGTGAGGAGGAAAACACTGTGGGGACTTCCCTTCCGTTTGCCAAACAGGGATCAGTCAGCACAGTGTGGCACCTCCATGCCAGGAACTTAGCTTTGGAGTTGGTCAGGGCTGGAGTGGAAAACCAGCTCTGCCCCTTCCTAACTATGTGACCTTTGGGATGTTACTAAATTTCTTTGGGTCTCAGTTTCTTCATCTTAATATGAGATAACAAGGATAATAGTTTCCACTCGTGGTTTTATTGAAAGGTAAAATGAGCTGATGCACAGAAGCTGAGGCCAGTGGAATGTGGAAGTGAGAATGTCTGGGAGCACAGGGGCAGAGAGTGGGGCATGGGAGCAGGGTGATGGACTCCTGCCTCAGTGCTCTTCCTAAGTGCCCCTGCTCTCCCAGCCACCACTTGTTCCCCTTAAGCCCTGCTCTACCCCAGATCTAGGGCCCTCACCAGAGCAGCTTCTCTCAGTCTTCTAGAATGTCCCTTGACCTCATCATGCCTCTGTTTTGGGACTGCTTTGCCCTAAAGCGTTTGAGGGATTCCTCCTCACTCTGCACTTGGTTATTTCTGGTTTCCTTTGTTTAGTTCCGGAGTCCTTGGTTACCAGAGGAGTATTTTCTAAGGGAAAGCACATGCAAATCAGGAAACCTTATTCTAGAGACAATGTTAGTGTACGGTGTGTGTTAGTGTAGGGGTGTTGTGGGTGTGGGCAATGGGGGGGTGCGTCGATGGGCAAGAATGAAGAGAAAGTCCTGGAGGGGAGTAAACTCTAGCCTGCTCTCAGCATGGTGACTTTCAGGTGGGGTGGCCCCTGTGTCTTCGGGGTCAGGCCCAGCTTGAGCCTCAGTGAAGCACACATACTTCCCCCCACACACCCAGCTGAAGGTGGCCCATGCATCTGGGGACACTGAGATTGGGAAGGCTCACCTCATGGCTTCAGAGCTGCAGCTACCCCTGCCATGACCTTGTCCCCACTGACTTGTGAGTGAGGGTGGGGGCAGGCTGGTCCCCGGAACTGGGATCTCCTGTTGGGTCTTAGGTGAGGCTATTACCAGGCCCCTCCTTTTGCTGGCTTTACCTTCTCATTTATGCAATGGGAACAGTCACCCGCAGCTCCTTCACCAGACCTTGCACATCCAGCCACCAAACTGACGGGGTAGGGGCCTTTCTGGCAGTTCTGTGGGATCAGGGAGAACCCAGAGGAAGTTAGAGAAAGGGCGGGGATGGGAGTTTGAGTGGCCACTGGAGAGGGCCAGTGGAAATTAGGGAGTGCGTAATGGACAATGGGGAGAGTCATAGATGATGGGGGGGTCATAGAAATTGGGGTCATTGAAGATGAGGAAGGGGTCAGAGAGTAGAAGAGATAGAACAGGAGATGGAGCAGATATGTTCCCTAAAGTGGGGGTGATCAGGAGTACTTCCGAGAAGAAACGTAATGGTGGAGACAAGACCCTGGGTGGGAACCGCAGAGATGATGAGGCCCTTTGAAGGGAGGCCAAATAAAGTTCCCTAATTTTGGGTACCAAGCCAACCAGGGAGCTTCCCATAATGCCAGTTCTCAAAGGCTCAGAGTAGCAGAATACTATTGCTTTGATCCTGTGCCTAGAGACATGCAAAGAACCAAGTTTACCCAATAGGCTTCCAGGTTTACAAACATGTTTATCACAACTTCCATGAGAATGGCATTTTAAGCAGCTTTTGGAAACACAGTCAGGTTTTCTTTGGTTTTGTTTTGTTTTTTAATCTCAGGTCACTCCCTCCAAAAGGTAGTGGAAATAAATTTGAATAAACAAAACAGGTTTGCTGAAAATAAAACCAGGACTCCTAAACTGCTCCAGCCAGCCTACTTCTACAGGACCCTGTCTGTCAGCCTGTACAGCACCTCGGCTGAGCGAGCAGCATCTGGCGTCCGGCATGTACCAGGTGAGTGTACAGAGGCCTGGCTGGGACAGTGCTGAGCAGGAAAGAGGCAGAGATGTTGCTGGGGGTGAAGGGAGGCTGGGCTCCCAGGTTTGGGGCTGAGGGTCAGATGGAGCTAGAAACCAGGATCTCAGGGAACAGCACTCAGACTAGATAGGAGCACTTCTCTCACTGGTCTTTTCTTATAGGTGGTTGCCTTCTTAGCAATAGTCATGGGAACCCACACCCTAAGTCTGCGGCATCAGAAGGACTGCACCCACTGGCCCAACTGCTGCTCCAGCAAAGTCCAGGACCCCACGGAGGAGTGGCTGAAGTGGAATACTGTGTTCATGCCTCCCCCAGAGACCACTAGCTTCACCCATCACCCAGAGTCCTGCAAGGCCAGCGAAGATGGACCCCTCAACAGCAGGTCCATCTCCCCCTGGAGATATGAGTAAGTCTGCTGTCCCTTCCCGAATGCCTGCATGTGTGCGAGGCAGGGTTGTGTGTAAGGGGTCAAGGGAGTTAGTTCTACCCAGTTTCAGCCTGCCCACCCCTTTTTACCTCAGAGTGGTCATAAAGGTTTGGGTGTTAGACAAGGCCTAGTTTGGGTCCTAGTTTTGACTCTTATTGGGTGACCTTGAGCCAATTACTGAAGGGTTCAAAGCTCATGTTATTTTTTATCTGTGAAATGAGATAATATCGCATAGGCTAATGTGCAGATCATATGAAATAATGTATGTAAAATCTGTACTTAGTACATAAAATGTTGGTTCTCTCTTTTTCTCCTCCTCCTCCTCTCCCTTCTCCTTCATTCCCACAATGACCATGCTTTTCTAACTAGAATATCAGGAAATCATGGTATGATACAGGCACGAAGCATCCCAATACCAAATGCTCTGCCCTGGGTTATAAATATTCCAGGATAATGAAACCCTCAACTCAGGAAGCAGCTGGGTGGCTGGAGCCCCAGGCTACCTACCTTGGATCATGAACAGTCTTTGTCTCTCCCTCAGTGTGCTACACAAATATTATAATTCTTGATTTGTGCCACGATATGAAAAATATTAGGAAGCACTGAAATAAAGGCAATGAAGCAAAATATTAAAAATTAGGACTTTAGGGTCCCAAACATATTTCTCCTTCTGTGTTGTCCTCATGGGGTGTCTGTTTCCACTCCCTGTAAGTCTAGTTCTGGCTTAGCCTTGGCTTTGGGGATGGATGGAGAAGTTCAGTGAGTAGGGAGGAGGTCAGCTCTGATTGAGACTAGATCCAGGGTGGAGACTTCAGGTCACCAGGCTTTGAAGTGGTCTCAGGTCCTGGGCTAAAGGTGATGGGTGAGAGCCCCTTTGGGGAGGCTGGGTGCCAGGTGGCTGACTCAGCTGGGGTTCAGGTCCCTCGTTGGGAGGCTGTGAAGTCCTGATAACCGCTCAACTGGTCTTCCCCAAAATGGGTTCTTTGTAATAGTCATCCCACAAGCTGCTAATCAGAAAAAAATGATAAGATTAAGTAAGTGTGGGAACGACTGCTCCAGCCCTGACCACTTTAATGTGCTCAGCACATTAAAGTCTGCAAGAAATCCACAGAAAAGAAACCATTAAACTCATTTGGCCACTGACCTTTCTCTTGCAGGGTACTTATTAGGGAATCCACTTTGCGATATTCTGTGCTAGTTGAGCCCCAGCTTGCAAGGGCTTGTCTGCATGGAGAATGGTCCTACAACCTAGCAGCTATTTCCTGCTAGGTTTCTGGAGTCCCAGACTTTTGGAACACCTACTTTTCAAGTCTATTTTTGGCCATGAGATCCTTTCAGAATAAGTAAATAAGTCTCACCATGTAATCTTAGATGTGCTTATATGCACAGACAGTGTCTGGAGGACATGCAGGAAATGGTTGACAGTGGCGCCCTCTGGGGAGCGGGACTGGTGGGGAGACAGACTTAGTCTTCACTTTATGCTTTTTAATGTAAGAGCAGTTTTACTTTTATAATAGTAATAATAAAACCTTAAAAATGTAATAACAATTACAAAGACAAACCTTATGCCAGAGTCCAGCGTGTATATCAGATGTAAATGGAGCTGGTCTGGTGGAGGCTGAGGCAAGAGACTGCTAACCTTCCCCTGCCTCCCTAAGGGTTCCAGGACCAGTTGGAAAGCCACGCTTCCATCCCGACCCTCACAGTTGACTTGTTCAAAGTCACCAGGCAAGTGAGTGCCAGAGCTAGGGCAAGGAGCCAGGCTTCCCGACAACACCATTTTCTTCCCCTGGCGTTTCCACCCACCCTGGGCACTCCTTGATTCTGGCCTGGCCCGTCTGCCCAGCCAGCCTCCCCCTCCAGGGCCTGACTGACATGTGCCACCCCCACAGGTTGGACAGGGACTTGAACCGGCTCCCCCAGGACCTGTACCACGCCCGTTGCCTGTGTCCACACTGCGTCAGCCTACAGACAGGCTCCCACATGGACCCCCTGGGCAATTCGGAGCTACTCTACCACAACCAGACTGTCTTCTACCGGCGACCGTGCCCGGGAGAACAGGGCACCGAAGGTGGCTACTGCCTGGAACGCAGGCTCTACCGCGTCTCCTTGGCTTGTGTGTGTGTGCGGCCCCGAGTGATGGCCTAGTCATGCCACCCATGGCTCGTCCCCTGTCAGAACACTGGAACTGGGTGTACAACTAACTACCTGCCACAGTGAGCCAGGACGCCCGAGTGCTCAGCTCCTCCAAAGCAGCACCTGGAGCAGCAGGATTGTGGGACAGGATGGGGACTTTTGGGGAACTGCACTTTGCACTTTTTGGAGTGGATGGAAAATTCAGGGTGAAGTGAAGGGAGCAGCAGCTGCTTGTGGCTGATGGAAGCTGGTGTCCTGGCATTTCCTCTCAGAAAGCTCTTCAAAGCTCTGCGCATTGCTGGAGACCACCACTCTGCCTCTTCCTTTCCTTCCAGCCCCAGCTGCCCTGGTACAGCATAGGCACTTTCTTGATATTTTACCCCTTGCCAACAGAGCCCCTCATTCCATTTATTTGTTTGTTCGTTTGTTCGTTCATTCATTCATTCACGCATTCATCAAACACTCAGTGAGCGTCTGTTTTGCATACACCCTGGTGTAGTTACTAGTCTTCTGACACGGGTGACTCTGAGGAATAGGCTGATACTGAGCATGGAGAAACTCATCCAAATAAATAATCTGTATTTTAAAGTGGCCTAATTTGTCTTTGGCATCCTGGTGCCTGAACGTCCACGGGATCCCCAGCCTGGTCCCTTCTCTTCCCCAAGGTCAGCCCTCACCTACTGCCCTCTCCCTCTGCCTTCCAGAGTTTCCGCTGTGGCCTCTTATCCTTCCCCTTCTCTGGCTCCCTGGCCCACCCCTGAACACCAGGGTGGGGGTCAGGCCACCCTTCTGGCATGCTGGAGAGACAGAGGCCCATTGAGGCACCGCAGCAGGCACACAGCACCCCCTTGTCCCCCCAACAATCTGCCTTTGTCCTCCGTCTTGGCTGCTACAGCTGGATCCTGGGGACGCTGCCCTGCCGGCTCCAGCTCCCACCCTCCCTAAAAGGAAAAAGGAGAAAGGATGGGCCAAGGAAGAGGGTTAAGGTTGGAGGAGGGGGGCACAAACTTCTCTAGAATTAGGCTCTTGGGGACTCCTACTCCAGCCCCTTTCTTGGCTTCCCTCCCATCTCCTCCCAGTCTCCATGGACCTCCTCCTCTACCCCCTCCTCCCTTCTCCAATTAAGGGGAGAGTTGGCCACTCCTCCCGAGCCCCTCCCCTCTCCTCCCCATGTGCCTCCTGGGGGCCGGTGCAGGCACCAGCAGGGCCACTCTGGGCAGCTGGCCTCCCCTGGCAGCCGCCTTCTCCTAGGACCCCACAGCAGGCCTGAAGGCTTCACTTTCAGGTTTCTTGCCGTACCTTCTTTCTCCTGTCTGCTTCCCCATCCTGCCAGATTTTTGTCTTCCTGTTTCCCTTCCTGGGCTGGTGGCAGTGAAGGGTTGTGCCCAGTGGGCCCCGAGGAGATGCTCAGTGCTCTGGATCGCCGGGACCGGCCCCCTGAAGAGGGGGCAGCTGCAGGGCTCCAGGGCTTCGCTGTGGACAAGACCTTCCTCTCCTCCCTCAAAGGCATCCTGCTGGAAACTGAGCTGGTAACAGCAGCCACCCCAACCTGGCGCCTCCATGTCTCCTAGCCCTGGCTCCCCTGCCCCGCCCACCATCCCCCTTCCTAGGCTTTCTGGACACCCCTCCTACCCCCAGCTGTCCCTCCCTCATCTCCTCCCTGCCTTCCTGCTGCCTCTGCATCTGGAGGCAGTTACAGCAGGTTTCAATTGCGGCGGGAAGGATTGAAGTTAGACCGGACAGCTTTCTGGGGCATTGAGGGAGTGCAAGACACAAGGATGGGACAAGGGTATGCCGGCCTGTCTTCCCAGGCTTTAAGATGGCCACTTCTTGGCATGTCCAAGAAGTCTAACTATCAAAAAGGGCAGACTTCCTACAGCCCCACTGTATCTGTTGTCTGCTCCCCATGAACACCTGTTCTTAAGAAAGGATCTTCCCCTAGTCACTGAGCAAGGCAAATCTTTTGCACATATGCTATCTTACAGTGTTAGAGCTGAAAGGACCCCCAGAATCCACCATGAGGCATCTGTCTTCTAAACCTTGTCTTTTGCTGTGGAGCCACAAGCTCTGGGCTTTGTAAGATGAGTTGAGTCATCTTGGAGTGGGTAAAGGATTATGGGGTACGGTGCCTCCTGGGGTGCAGGCTGCTGCAGGGGCTGCATTCACACTGTGCTCTGTGCCCCAGAAGGACACCAAACTTCTAAGGCTGCTAGGACACTAGGGCAAGGGGCAGCTGGTCATCCCCAAATTAAAAGACTCAAATCCTTCTGGGCTGGCAGAGGTGGGAGGCTGGAGGCTGCTCTCCATGGGCAAACGCCCTGGAATGTGACTCCTGCCACCAGGAATGGGGAGACCTCCAAAGATAGGTGGCGGGGGCCAGTCTGGGGAGTTCCCCACGAGGGGAAGGCCAGGGCCAGGCCATGCCTGTGTCCCCTTCCTGGCGAGTCCACATACTCGGTCCTGCAGGCCCTGACCTTCATCATCTTCATCTGCTTCACGGCTTCCATCTCCGCCTACATGGCAGCTGCGCTGCTTGAGTTCTTCATTACACTCGCCTTCCTCTTCCTCTACGCCACCCAGTACTACCAGCGCTTCGATCGGCTGAACTGGCCCTGTCTGGTGAGGGACCCTGCCTCCCCCACCCTATGCTGGTCCCTTTCTTCTCCTCTGAACTCAGAGTATTCCTTTTCTCTCCCAGCCTCTCTTTTTTTCCTGGGTCAGTTGGGGTCTGGCCCCCAACCCTAGCTTGGCTTCATCCCAAGTTGTGCCCTGCACTCAAAAACTGTTTTGACCCACACTGATTCACAGCTGCTGGGTCACTGACAACAGGGATGCACATCCTTCGGATCTGTTTTCCCACTCACCAAAGGTCTAGCCCCAGCCCCAGCCTCAGCTGCAGCAGTGGCCCTCGGCCTTACCTGCTGAGACTGGGTCAACGCCGCCCCAGCTCCTGACCTCCTGTCCTGGTTGTTCTGCATTCACCTGCATCCCTTCCCTGGATAGAGTGTGAGCTCCCTCCCTCACTCTTTCTTTCTAAGTGATTTATATAATAGTGCCCAGGGGTATCTCCACTCAGGGTTTCAGGGCCGAAAGGCCAAGTGCTGACTAGCCTGGAAAACTTCAGGGGGATGACCCTGACCTCTGACTTCCCTTTGACCTTTCACCCTGACCCCCAGGACTTCCTTCGCTGTGTCAGCGCCATCATCATCTTCCTGGTGGTCTCCATTGCGGCTGTGACCTCCCGAGATGGAGCTGCCATTGCTGCTTTTGTGAGTCCAGCCCCCTCGACCTCTCCAGCTCCCCAAGGACCTCTGGCAGGTGGCTGCCCACTTCCTGTACCTCCCCCCAAGTCCAAGTCAGTGCCTGGGGCTCTGGCCAACACCTTGCCCGTACCACCCACCTCCCTTTCCCTAATACCGATGGCCTTTGTGGTGCCATTCCCGTTCCTGCTCCACAGGTTTTTGGCATCATCTTGGTTTCCGTCTTTGTCTATGATGCCTTCAAGATCTACCGGACTGAGATGGCGCCCAGGGCTACCGAGGGTGAGTGCCTGTGCTCTGGGAGAGGAGATGCCCTTCCGCCGGCTGCCCCAGCTGCCCCAGCCTGACATGCCCTTCCCTGCCTGGCTCCATCTTCCTAGGGGACCAGCAGTGACCCCAGGGCTACAGTCAGACGAAGAGAACAGTGGAGACACATCTCTCTCGGATTCACTAGCTCCCCAGCCCACTGTCTCCCACCCCAGATTTATAGAGATGAAGCTGGCCTGAGAAATCACGAAGACTGGTCTGTGAACCTGGCTCTTGATGAAGCTGAGCCGGGGAGGGGTATCATGAAAGGAAGACGGACGGGCAGGAGGAGGCCGGTTGTTCTCAAATTAAAAGATTTGAACTCTTCTGGTCAGTCTTTTTCTTCCCCAGAAATTAGGCATATCAGGAATCCATGGGAGTATTCATGGAAATGTTTCCTTGAGCTGGTAGGTCATGGTCCCTTCTCTGAGACCAAGTCTGAGCAATGAGGAAGTGGGGGACTAGACATCCTTCAACTCAAAACTTCCATGCCACAGCTCTCTGTGCGCAAGACTACTTTGTAGTGTGTCTGGTGGCTAGGCACCTGGAGTTCTGTGTCTGAGAAGGCACAGCCTTCCAGATGTGAGCAAGTACCTACCTGCAACTCCTGTGCACGCAGGTTTGTTAGTGGGTTTGAAGTAAGGGGCTTGCCTGGGGCTTGTGTAGAGCTCCCCCTGGTGGTGTGTGTGTGGGGGCACTTGGCTTGCAGGCCGTAGAGGAAAGGTCAACCTGTGGCATCAGATGAGGGCAGAGGTTCCCAAAAGTCAGGCACTGGAAGAGCCTTTAAATATCAGCTGGCCCAATGCACTCATTCCACATAAGAGAAAACAGGCCCAGGTAGAAGAAGTGACATTCTTATTTGTGACAGAGCTGGGACTAGAACTCAGGACTCCTAACACCTCAAACGGTGTTCTACATACTGTAGATTCCCTCATAGCTCAGAAAAAATGGCCCTGCCTCATCTAGAGCTCCCTCCACCAGTAGGTCTACCTTTCCAGCTTGCCAGCACCCACCAAACATTTCCTGAGTATCTTCTGTTGTGTGCAGACCCTGTGCTGGGCCCCAGGGGTTCAGAGGTGATAGGCGGGCCCCTCTTTGAGGTCTCACAGGTTAGTGAAGGACAGTCATGACTCCCCACAAAGAATGCTCTGGGAGACCTTGGCTCAGGAGGAGTGTGGAGCAGGTACTGCCACAGCCCAGAATTAGCCTTGTCTGGACCATGACAGTCCAGTGCAGCCAGGCTGCCCTGACCAGCCCTACAGAGCCCAGCTTATCCAAGCTGACTTGCTATCCCCTCTCTCTAATGCTTGTTTGCTCCTGTCCTGAAATGCCTTCCTTTCTCTGGGATACTTTTTCCAGTTGCAGGCCCCAGACCCCAAGCCCTGCCTGACCCTGAGACTCTGGTAGAGGAGTTTTGCTCCCTTTGGTGATAACCACGAATCTCTCTTGGCCTGACTTCTCCTGTCTCTTGCTGTTCTCTTAGCTTCATGTCCTGGCTCCTCACCAGAGCTGGAACCAATGTTTTTGTGTTTCTCTGGTCTCCGCTCACAGTTCTCAGGGCTTTATGCACAGCCCAGTCTCAAGACTGGTGACCGATCTTGGTGGGGCAGAGGTGACCTCAGAGGAGCGATAGCAGGGGCTTAGCCAGGGGAGTCCAGGAGATGGGGTACCAGGTGAGGTGATGAGAAGGTGGTCAGGAGAGCCTGGCCATAAAGCCCAGCAGGAAGCAGGGATTTGCTTGGAGCAGAAAGGGGTCAGGACGAGCCCTGTCCCCTGAGCAGCTATGTGACCTGGGCCAGACTATCCCTGGTGGAAGTTCAGAGAGAGCAGAAGTGCCATCTACCGTGTGTATTTGCCCGTGTACCCGTGCTCATCTGTGTCTGTGTGAGAGGTCAAAATGAGATAAGCATTACCCAGGCATGGTCCACACTGAGTATCAGTTCGGATTTAGCATCTGCTGACCCCAGGTCCTGAGCTGCCCTCATGGTAAGGCCCTGACCCACAGAGGCTGGAGACTGCCCTGGGCCCCAGCTGACTGTCCCTGGGGATGATGGGGAAAGAGACTCCTTACGGGTTACTTTTAAGGGGCTTCTGACCACAATGGGACCTGTCCCAACCTCCTTATCTGCATCTTCATCCCCAGCCAACTCTGAGTCTCTCCTGGCATCAGTGGGAAATTCATTTTGGAAGAAACGGATGTCCCAGGACACGTTTAACCCTCGTGGTCTCGGAGGTAGGATAGGTGGAAGATGGCTTCAGCTTTGGCACTAAAATTGTGTCTCCTACTGTCTAGAATTGGCTCACCCTTCTGGTGCCTTTGTTTTCTCCACTTTTGAAAATTTTCCATCTTGTCCCTTGTCTGGTTGACTAAGCAGAACTGGGACTCATGGCTCTGCCGCTTTGGAGAGGACACCTCACTTCTCATGGCCTCAGTTTCCTCCTCTATAGATGTGGGAAACCTTTGCTCCCACAGCTCGGACAGGGTGGGGCCGCCCTCCTCCCAGGAGCTCAGAATAGAAAGCACAGGGGCTCCGGCAGAGTCTGGCACTCATATTTATTATAAGTTAGCAAGAGCAAGGTCCCAATGGCAGCATCACTCCTCGTCGTGCATTTTTTGCTGAGAGAAGAATAAAAGGTGTGAGGGGGCAGCTGGCAAGAGGGAGGAAAGGTATGGGGAGGAATCTCTAGGGTTTCCAGGGGCCTAAGGGAGAGCTTCTTAGAGGGAGGGGTTTGGATCTCAGGGATCTTGGGGTCCCATTTAGAGGTCTTTGTGGTTTAGGGGCATATAACTGGGCTTTCTGTAGAGGTTCCAGTCTGTACAGGTTCCAATCTGTAGAGGTGCTCTGAGGAGGAGGGGGTTCTCAGGTATGGGTGCTATGGGAACCTTAAGACTATCCTAACATAGCGTGAGGAGTGCCTACTCAGAGGGGCACTGACGTTGGAGGGTGAGCTGCTGTGGGGGTGACTAGCCAGGCCCGGAAAAGGGACCCACCTTGGCACCGATGTCGCGGCTCTTGGCCCGCAGCTTGTTGACCTGGGACTCAGCGATGTCCGCCCGCTCCTCTGCCTCATCTAGCTCGTGCTGCACCTTGCGGAACTTGGACAGGTTGGTGTTGGCCTGCTCCTCCTGTGGGGGGTCACGGAAATTGGAGGATGAGGTGAGAGGGGGCCCAGGGTTCTCAGCCTCCTAGCCTGGGGAACTAACTGCCTGTCCCTGAGCTGGGTTCAGTGCTCTCACCCCTCACTTGTGTTCCTGCCACAGCCTTGCCAAGGGCATTCTGCTCCTGGCTTGGCACCCTCCTCAAACTTGTCCAGCGCTCAGAACACTTCATGGCCACCCACTGCCCAAGATGAATTCCATGCTGCCTGGTCCGGCTCTGCTCAAATCCAGCTTCACTGCACCTGTCCAACTGTGACTCTGATAGAGGCTCCTTGACTTGGGACTTCCTGCACAGGCATGCTCATCAACACCTCACATCCACATTTTTCTGCCCACCCAGATGTCTTCCTCACTGTGCTATGCCTGGTCAGGTACCCTTCCATGCTCAATTCCACTGCTACCTTCCAGCCTCCAGCACTGTCTGGCCCCCTGACCTGCATTAGCAGCTACACTGCCTTCTCTTGGGCTTATTGATATGTGGATTATAAGCAGCTTGTGAGCAGGTCCTGGGTCAAATAAACATTGCTTTTGTTAAATCAGAGTGTCTGACACAACTCTGAGCACACGGGACATGTGTAACCAATGTTTGAGAGTTAAAGTGAATAGCAAACCCTTTGTCCAGGCCCCATGCTGGGGTGGACACTCATTGGTTCTTACACATTGGAGGTGTGTTGAAAGAGTGGAGAAAACCGTGAACTCACTGCTTCCTCAGCCTGGCGCTTGTAGGCCTTGACCTTCAGCTGCAGTTTGTCTACCAGGTCCTGTAGCCGCAGCAGGTTCTTCTTATCCTCCTCCGTCTGGGGATGGATGGGCAAAAGTCAGTTTTGGGAGAGGAACAAGTGTTGTCATCTTTCCCTCCCTCACCATTCCACTCTTCCTATGGTTTAGTTGCCTCTCCCTTCAATAGGCCAGGTCACAGGGGCGGTGGGGAGAGTCCATTTCTGACGCTACTTGTAGGTCAAAGGGCCAAGGAAAGTCCTCAGTTTAGGATCCAAAAAGCAGTGAGGGCTGTGGCCTTAAAGCTGGAAATGGGGCCAGGGGCTCAGAACAAAACAAAATTCCTTCATCTGATAATACGGTGACATTGGGGCTGTTCCAGCTCTCACCTATCAGGTGCTCTTGCCCAGTAGTTCTAAAGTGATCAGAAAGGAATAATGAGGAATGCAGAAAGAAGGGGGTATCATCACAGTCCAGATTATTCCAATCTATCATAACCCAATATTCTAATATATTGTACTGGGCCAGATTTTGGACATGAGGATCACTGACTCCAATGTCACTTGGTCCTTCCTATCACTACATCCTTGTATGTGTTAGGCAAATATTTCCACTTATGCCCACAATATACCTGCAGTTCTACATCTGTATGTCTTTCTGTGCCTCATATCCAGCTGTTGAATGGACTAATATCCCTTTCTCTGTCTTTCATTTCTAGGCACACTGTGACAATATCAGGACAAGGGTAAAAGCTCTGAGCTATGCACATAGCTCAGAGGTCTTAGAACATTCTGGGATCTTCTTTCTCTAAGGCCTTCTACTGTTGTCCCAGAAGTTGCATGGAAGATCCGAGCCTCTTCCCATCTCCAACTTTTATCCCTAAAGTGCCACACAATGTCCCTCCCACTCAGGCCAGTAGAAAGTAGAAAGATTCCTTGCACTATTCTAAAGCCTTCCTGGTAGACCTTCAGGTTTTTTAAAAACCTGGGGGAAATCCTGGTTAAAAGAGCTTTCAAGAAGTAGAAGTAGATTCTCCTCTATTTGCTAGAAAAAAATTCATGGACTTAAGCCACACTGACTCTGGAGAATGTGAAAGAAAATCTGAAGACAGCTTCTCAAGGAGTAGGTGCCAGGAGGGCCGGGTGGCATTCCTGGACAGCGGCTCTGCATAGGGTCTGTGGGGGCCAGGAGGTGGGGCTAGGAAAGTGCTTTCACGTCCACTCCTGGTGGCCCGGCCCCAGGGCAGCTGCAGGGCCCACACCTGGTAGGTGAGCTCCTTGATGCGACGCTCACTCTTCCTCATGCCCTTGACAGACTCCACGTTGCGTTTCTGCTCGGCCTCCAGCTCGTTCTCCAGCTCCCGCACCCGGGCCTCCAGCTTCTGCAGCTGCTTCTTGCCACCCTTGAGGGCGATCTGCTCAGCCTCGTCCAGCCGGTGCTGCAGGTCCTTAATGGTCTGCTCCATGTTCTTCTTCATGCGCTCCAGGTGGGCGCTGGTGTCCTGCTCCTTCTTCAGCTCCTCCGCCATCATGGCGGCCT